AGTTTTTAACTCACAAAACTTTATTTTCTATACTTGTAGCAAGATTGAATCCCAAGATGCATTTTGTAGTTTTCTGGCAGCATTTTCATACGATTTTCGCGAAGAAAAGCCTTGAATGTACTAAATGAATGAGTTGATACAAGTGGAACGTTTAAAACTTTCATATTATTAGGAATAAGGGCTTCTTCCTTACCCTTTACAATTAAAGCTAGAAGAGCCAAAAAATGCCAATATTTAAAAAAAGGCTCCATCAAATCTATATATATAAAATAATAGCCGTTTTCGTTGTTCGCAGTTAACTCAAAAACTACTGCATAGATTTCGGTCAAATTTTCAGAGGTTATACCTTGCATACATGGTCCTATTATAGGCTACCAGAAAACTTGGTAGGTAGCGCTGGGATCGAGTTATTTATAAAAATCGTATTTAAGTAAGCTACTAGCATGATGGCAAACACGTTTACCAAAAATAGACCCGCTGGGTGGCGCGGGAGTCGCGATATTTATAAAAGTCGTATTTATGGGCAGATTTCTTACAAATTCAACAGGTATAGTTTCAGCATAATGGAAAATATGTTTACCAAAAACGGAGCCGCTAGGTGGCGCGGGAGGCGAGTTATTTATAAAAGTTGTATTTATGAACCGATTTCGTAAGCATGATGAAAAAAGCACTTGCGAACAAAGGACCCGCCAGGTGGTGCTGGAGTCGAGTTATTTATAAAAGACGTATTTATGAACCTATTTTGTTAATACACATTCGAAACGTTTATTACTTTCATGGTGATTTTGTTTCATTCGAAACATATTCAGCCTTATCTTGAGTTTCATCTTCCCTGAACCAGTCCACTTTTCGCTTTTGGTTTCCATGTAGTTACTATGGGGGAATCAAAATTTTCGCGAGAATTTTTTTTCGGGCGAAACTCACGATAAGGAAGATTACATACATAAAATGCTAGCCATTTTCGTTTTTCGGACTAAACTCAAAAACCACTAAATAGAGCCCAGTCAAATTGTCGGAGGTCCTATTATAGACTACTAGAAAACACGCTGGTGGCGCTGGAGTAGAGTTTCTTATAAAAGTCGTATTTATTAACAGATTTCGTTTAAATTCGCAGCGTGGCTACCTGTATGATGAAAAATTCCTTTGCTAAAAATGGACCCGCTGGAGTTTAGGTATTTAGAAAATCCGTATTTTTTATAAAATCTGATTGGAATTCATAATTCGTATACATTTCATGACAAGCAAAGATTTTGCAAAAAAGGGACCCAATGGATGACGCTGCACCCGATATAAATAGAAAACCCCACGGGGTTTTTTTATCTTAGACGAATTTACTTTTCAGATGGCTAAATCAAGGATGCGTTGAGTATGCATATAAAGACCGTAACACTGTGTAAGCGTGATCTTGCATCTACCTCCGATTGACGAAGTTGCTCGAGGCGGCCGTTATTACAGCAGTAAGACTCCAAGAAACCAATTCATAAATATTAAGACGAATTGTAAAAGTGGCGAATTGATAAGGAAAGATTCGACCACATCTGTCCAAGAAGGAACACGATAGGTATATCAATAGCTTCATTTGAACGATATTCATGAGATCATATGACTCATTTAGCCAATGTACGCGAAAACTTTTCATTCTGTGGGGCAGCGAGGATTCCTGGCCTTCCTATTATTGAAAACGCTCATCTGTGCTCTTGAGTTTCCGTATAAGGACTTTTATTGGCTTACATGGTACACCGGACCAATGCTGAAGTTGCAGGTTCATAGAAGAATATTACGCACGCTTGGCAGAGATCTCACAGGTGGGAATAAGACCATAGGTAAAACGCATCGCATCGAAAGGGATTAGTATTCCATATGGAATCACAGCGCTACTATTCTTGGCATATGTGTGAGGAGGATTCCGTTTTTTAGTCGTTTCAATTTAAACTAAAAGTGTTTACTTTACAGACTGCTTTTGCTTTTAAAAGCTATTTTTGAATTGGCCAACGCAAAAGATCTTATTAGGCGCCGCGAAGCAAGCGGGCATTTGCTAGTGTGTATATATGGAACCAGGCAAAGGTAAATCGTGGACATTCCTAATCGAATATACCCTAACTCTTTAGCAGAAAAAAAGGCAATTTTCATAAAATCCGTTACCTGGGCCCAATTGCACCAATGACTTATCATTTATCACTTTACAACTTTTAGATAAGCCTTTTTATTGAAAAGTAAAGTTGATAAGTGTTTCACTTTTTACTTATCATAAAAAACTTATCAATTTATGTTTTTTGGATAAGTCGATTTGATAACCATTGCACAGCCAATTTCTTTTGCTTTTCAAATAGAGAACTTTTCCAATAATGTGCTTAGCTAAAATGATTACCGTTTCTCAATGGAAAACGAAAGCTTAGCAAACCCATGTGCGATTTGATAAACATTTTCAATTTATCTTTTTTTTCTTACTATGTCGCGCGCACAAAGCGCAGCCAATATATTAGCTGTCTTAAAAATTATTAAGGAAAAAAGCAAGTCCGTATTGACTATGTATGTTTACATAAATAATTAAATTTTTCTAAATTAAGGATTATTTATTTGGATCTTTCCAAAATAACAAAAACACAAAAACCACATTGCATTAATTAAATGATTTCCGTACCGGTTAACAAATCATAGTTCCATCAATGCTCCCTGCGTCTTAAGGAAATTCACCAATGTTGAAAAATTTTGTGGCAATATTTTTCGTAAATTCCCGCCAACAAATAGTTTCATCCATCAATTTGTTTATCAGGGCATTTGCCACTCGATGGATTATTGTACATACCGCTAATTTGTGAACCCCATGCATTTGACCAATTCCATGATGTTGGCTACCATTGCCTAATTAGTGCAGAGTTAATAATAATTGCTGTAGCGGACTTAAGCCATTATTACACCCACTGTTATATTGTAGGTCCGCTCCAATTTTTAATAAAATTTCTTCAATTTGGCTACGAGATAGCCGAAATTTTTCTACTACATCAAAATCTATACTGTAGCTGATTGGTTCTTTTATGACACGCCTTTTATTATGTGCAGATTTTCCTCCTCTAATAAATTTAATAGTTCGAATCGAAGCATTTTTTGTGTCAATATTTTATCGAATCACGTGTTAGAGCTTAAGTTTTAGATTGTTAAGGTATAGTTGTATTATCCTTTTACAATAAATAAATAAATAAATTCATTCAGACTGAATAAATGTAACTTATCACTTGTATGATAGGTAAAATTACTTTTAGCAAAATAATGCTAAAGTTAGCAAAATGAAAGATGATAAGTGATATATACAAATTTTTGGTGCAACGAAATGCTAATAAATTTTGATAATTTGCATAACTTATCACTTATCCGCTAAAGCCTTTTCGCCAAGCATTTCAAATTTTGGTGCAACGCTTATCTATGATTTTGAGTGATATTTTACTTATCAACACTCATTTGAGTGACTTTTCCTTATCATGTTGGTAAAACACAAAACTTTGAGTAAGTTCGATAATCTGCCCAGCACTTACTAAATGTTTAGAAAAATTTATAGTTTGAAAGCTTAAAAATTTTCCAAACATGACTGCAAATAGTTCGGAATAATTACGTTCCAAGTAGGGATGAAACGATACGAGTAAATACAAGTACTACATACTCGAGACAAGTAATTTTGGAATCGATACTTTTGAACCACCTAGATGAATGCTCAGAACAGATGTTTCAACGCGATTTTAGGCGCGCCTGCTAACACCGGGCACCTAAATGCATTCTATGTACTCCTCCTCCGGACAATGCTTCACTCACTGGGTAACGCTATTAGATCCCGTTCACATGACAGGCACTTAATACCCGTTTTGATAGGAACACCAAGACGAATTTACTTGCGTTTAACTCACGTTAGCATGTGAGCATGTGAACACCTTGAGAAAAATGACACGAAAAACGCGTAGTTGTGACCGCGCTTTTAGCTCCCGTCATGTGAACGGGGTCTTATTCTTCACTAGCGGAAAATGCAGGGAGGCCTAGCTCTGTTATTGAAGAAAAGAAACAAAGAAGAAAAATAGCCCCACAAAGAGTTGATTAAAAAAGATTCTTAAGCAGATTTGTGCAGTTTGACAGTTATAGAATGTGGTTATTTTTGGAAATTTAAAAAACTAATCGTTAACTTATAGCCTAAACAAATTAAATTTAAGTTATGTAGTTCATACGGAATACCTTCACAGCTAAAAGTTTCGATACTTTAGATCCGATATTTTCAAGGTACTTCCAAGTATAAGTATCGATACCTGCATGGTATCGTTTCATCCCTAGTTCCAACACATATTATTGCTAAATTACGAAACACAAAACCTTTAATTTTCTCTACTGAAATATATGAAATTTTGAGTTGTGTCGCTATTGTAGAGGACCATCGATATGTACATATTTAGTTATAGGGCAAATTTAGTGGGCAATCTGAAAGAATAAATTAACACATTACCTGCAAAAAAAGCGGGAACCTTTCCTTCTCAACACTAATTTTAGAGCGAGCATGAACCGCCGTTCACAAAAATGCAACACCCCTGATATTTAAGGATATTTAACATTTCCTGTGTATAAAGGTGAAGACCCCAGGCTCCGGAGGCTTCCACTGAAAATGTAATGAAATGACCCTTACTAAATAGAAGAGGGGCGGATACCCCCTTCATTTGTCAAGTGTGATTCTTTGGCAACGTTTACATGTGATAAATAAAGGTTTCGCCGAACCCATAACGACGTAATGAGCGAAGCAAAAGTGGTCATATAGCTTTGTAACCCGCAATTGCTGGTATTTTAACATAATTTTTTAATCGACTTCCAAAAAAGGAGGAGGTTATCAGTTCGTCGGAATATATATATATTTTTCGTCAACCGATTTCGATAATTCTTTTTGCATCGGAAAGGTAGTGTCTCAGAGGTGGTCCCATACTAATATGGTTTAGATCCGATCATTGGATCATGCCATTTTGCTAAAAATTACTTGTTTATAAAATCAGTTAATATTAAATAATAAAAGTACTGTTAAACAAAAGTGTGATCGTTTAGCAACGTGTGCATATGAGGACATTAATTTCGGGCCACCCATTCCGATGTAGTAGAAAAAATCGGCGGTAAATGAAAGCCAACCCAAACAAACAAATGAATAAATAACATAAATAAAATAAAATTTACATAATAAAACAAACCTTTCTCTTTACGATTATGTACAAAGAACCAAGCGACTAGGGCTGCGTTGACCACCAAGAATCCAAAGGCGGCCATGGATATTCCAAGTATGACAAGATTGGGAGTACTCGAATCCTCAGTTAACTCTTCAGTTGCTATATCCAACCCTTGTATAACCAAAACAGAATACGAAAAAAGTAAACAAAAAAGAGAAAAAAGAAAAACAAATATTTCAGATGGTTTAAAAAAAAAATCATAAATGATGAATATACGAAGTTAATTAGTTGTTTGCACATTTGCCTGATTGTCACGTTTCTAACCTTTTTTGTCATCTCAAAGTCCGTTATAAGGTATAATTTCATTAAAAATGTTTGCACATTTTACCACTTAAATAAAAGGACCAGTAAAAGGGATATTTTGATATTCATATGTATATGAATATAATAACAGATTGGCGCTTACAGAATATGTTAATGTTTGGCCGAGCTTCTCCTCCGATTTGTCGCGTTCGCCTTGATGTTATCACACAAAGGGCAGGGACCTGCGATTGCATTTTTATGAAAAGCTGTTTTTCATGGCTGAATACATTCGGAGGTTTGCCATTGCCTGCCGAGCGGCGACCGCTATTAGTAAAAAACTTTTTTTGTTTATTAATTTTTTATGTTCTCCGGAAACTGTGCTCGAAACCAGACAATCCAGAATGCAAGTGCGCACTGCTAAGCACTTCACCACAACGACCTCCATATAAAACAAAGATTTACATATGTCCACGTACTACAAAATTCAGGGGATTTTCAAATAAAAACACAAAGGACACATAAAGAATAAAACAAATTAACTAAATAAAATGGGGTTCCTATTCGCAGAGGCATTTGCAGCCCATCTTCCCATTTTAGACCACACATGTGATATGTCTTTCCAAAAATAGTGAACTTACGCTAGAATAGAATAGAATAATAGTAGGGTAAGCACTGCGACCAATAGGTCTATTGTGCCCGAACTTACGCTAGGCGCGCATTGCATCCGATAGGCCGACCGATTTCGGCCCAACAATCAAGCCGCCCAAACTGATGCGCACACTTAACTAAATTATTTTCCGACCACATTTTTACGCGCAAATCTAATTTTCATTTCAATTTTGTAAGCAGTGAAATATTTTAATAGCTTTTAATTGACTTACTCTAAATATGTTATTTTATAGATATTTTTTTGTTTGTTTTGTACCCAATAAGTTAATTTTTCGCAGTCCATTTTGACACTTTTCACCTGACATCGGACGAGAGAAACAAACATGTTTGAATTTATTGTCACTGACGGACGTCATCGGCCGATGTCGGTTCGGTTGTCGATTTATGTGTGGGAGCGCTCATATAATCACAAGTGTTTATTCTTATCGCCCGCATATAGCCGATATTGGCCGAGCACAATTCGGACGCGCGTAGCGTTACTCACTTCACATGAGTGCGCCGTTTGATCTCTGCAAAAATCGCGACTACTCCATGCATGCATGTAAAGAGTACTCCCTAAGGGTCAAAATTAACCGTATTGTATATAACAAATGTGGTCCGATTAAGATTGCGCTGTCCTAGGGCAGGACCATATATGCACTCCAGATTGCATTACATCAGAGTAGCACAAAATTACCCCAAGGAAAGAATGTGAATAAAAAGGATTTTTGTCTAATATTGACATTGTCATTGTTGATATCCTTTCTCGTTTGTACATGCTCTTGTTCTGCACTTCACAGATGCTTTTTCATAGTTCGGAGACACAAAACAAAATTTTTTATTAATTATTATTTTATTTCATTATTAGTTACATTTAAATACCGATTGTTTAATGATTGGATGTATGTATTTAACTATGGATTATAATATTACTTCACCCTGCGAAATTCTTCACTACATAAAATGTAAATTGTTTTTATTTATGCGATAATAGAATACAATAAAACAATTAAAATTATTAACGAAAATCTTGTGCATAGAGCACAAACACCCTGTTTAATTCGAGAGCTTTGATGAATTGGTGCGTCTATCACTATTGTTTCGTGTTGATCTAATAACTGCGATGGTTGCGAGAATGTAGCGGAAGGTTCTGGCTTTACATTATCTGAAGGCAACCGTGGGTATTGCGCAGTAGGAAAAGCTGATGATCTGGAATCCACGCCGCTATATCTGTTTGTGGATGCGCAAAACCGATATCAGAGTTGTGTCCAGATTTAAGTTGGAGACGTTCAGCGGGTGATTTACCATCGACATTCGGCATGAATCGGTAAGTGTATAAAAATTTTGTTACAGCAGCATTCAACCATAACCCATCATCGACGTTCTTCTTAACTGCTGTTTTAAAAGTTCTTACAAATCTTTCCGCGAGGCCGTTTGATGCTGGATGGAACGACGCAAATGTTAGATGCTTTATTCCGAGCTGGGCCCAAAAATTCTTGAAATCATCAGATGTGAGCTGCGGACCGTTATCTCTAACGAGTGTATTCGGAAGTCCCTCAATGGCAAAGATAGAGGATAATGGGGCTGTTGTGTCAGCTGACGTTGTTGCTGTCACTGGCACGACGAACGGGAATTGTGAAAAAGCATTAACACATATAAGCCACATCGAAGAATACAATGCTCCGGCAAAATCGATGTGAATCCTCTCGCATGGGTGGTTTGGTGCAGGCCACTCCTCGTAATTTCTGGTTGGAGCAGGATTAACAGCTTTACCAATGTCACATTGATCGGAGAGTCTCGCTAAGTCCCCATGATTCAATAATACAAGGTTGGCTAACCTGGCAGTTGTCTTGCTCCCACATTCTTCCGTAGCCTGTGTTGCTTTCTTTTTTGATTTATAGAATCTACTACTATAATACAAAGAGAAGTTCAACAGGCAACACTGCCGATATTTTCATCGATTGCTTTGTGGAAATTGATTTTCCTATTGCGCAAATTCAAGTAAGTTTACCAAAAAAAATCAAAAATAATGGAACTAGATAGTTTGAATTAAAACAATAATTTACATATTTACTTGCAGAGTATCGGAGTTATTCAAAATTTTTATTCAAAAACCTGCGTTTTACAACAAGTACAGCCCCTGCAAGTATGCTTTGCGTGTCCGTCCACGTTTGGCTGGTGCAGTCCACTGCGAATTACAGCTGCAGCGATTTATTACAGCCGTTTCATACTTACAAGTAAGTATACCACCCCATAAAAGTGAAAGTGCAAATATTAATAAAGATTTTTTCTTGCGCAGGTCACGATCATTTGTGTGGCCGTCCACCAAAAGTAATTCAATTTACGATACTACGTGTAATTTTTAAATGCAACAAATATAATAATTTTTAAAAGATTAATTTATATCTTCTTCTTCTTCTTCTATTTTGGCGCTGTAACCGCCTAAGCGATTTTGGCCGAGTTCAGCAAACCCCGCCAGTCGTTTCTCCTCTGTGCCAACTGACGCCAATTGGAAACGCCAAGTGAAGCCATGTCCTTCTCCACCTGATCTTTCCATCGCAGTGGGGGCCTCCCTCTTCCTCTGTTACCACCAGCGGGTTCCGAGTTGAATACTTTCAGAGCCTCTTATTTTAATGCGCCGCACTATGTCCATGTCGTTGTAAAGCTTATACAGCTCATCGTTCCATCGTCTGCGGTACTCGCCGTCGCCAACGCGTAAAGGCCCGTAAATCTTCCGCAAAATCTTTCTCTCAAACACTCCAAGAGCCGCCTCTTCGGATGTTGTCATTGTCCATGCTTCTGCGCCATATACCAGCACGGGCATGATGAGTGACTTATAGAGCGTGGTTTTCGTACGTCGAAAGAGGACTTTACTCCTGAATTGCCTACTCAGTCCAAAGTAGCACTTGTTGGCAAGAGTGATTCTGCGTTGGATTTCAATGCTGACATTATTATCGGTGTCAATGCTGGTTCCCAAGTAAACGAAATTCTCTACTTTCTCGAAATTGTAACTGTCAACAGTGACTTGATTGCCAAGGCGCGAATGTGCTGACTGTTTTTTTGATGACAGGAGATACTTCGTCTTGTCCTCGTTTACCACCAGACCCAAATTAAAGAAGTCACATGAAAGGGAGTCGCCCTGCCTGAAACCCCGTTTGGTAACGAACGGCTCGGAGAGGTCCTTCCCAATTCTGACGGAGCTGGTGGTATTGCTCAGCGTCATTTTACACATCCGTATGAGTTTTGAGGGGATGCCAAATTCAGACATAGCGGCGTTTAGGCAACTCGTTTTAGTGCTGTCAAAAGCGGCTTTAAAGTCGACAAATAGGTGGTGAGTGTCGATTGCTGCACAGAGGCGGGTGCGTATCTTGGCTGCAACAAGATAGTGATCCGAGTCGATGTTTTGGCCTCGGAGTGTGCGTACATCTACAACACTGGAAGCGTGCCTTCCGTCTATCACAACATGATCGATTTGGTTTCTCGTTTTTCGATCCGGAGACAGCCACGTAGCTTGATGGATCTTTTTATGCTTGAACCTAGTACTACATATCACCATGTTTCGGGCCCCGGCGAAGTCGATCAGCCTCAATCCGTTGTCGGACGTTTCGTCGTGGAGGCTGAATTTTCCGACGATGGTTCCAAAGATCCCTTCCTTGTCCACCCTGGCATTGAAGTCGCCAAGCACGATTTTGATATCATGACGGGGGCAGCGCTCGTACGTGCGCTCCAAGTGCTCATAGAAGAGATCCTTGGATGCCTCATCCTTCTCTTCCGTCGGGACATGGGCGCAGATGAGCGAGATGTTGAAGAATCTCGCTTTGATGCAGATTATGGCTAGACGCTCGTCCACCGGGGTGAACGACAGTACTCGGCGACGGAGTCTCTCCGAGGCTTTGCCTTGCTTCTTCACTGGAAGTGGTTTTTACGTGGCGGGTCCCAAACCCAGCGCACAACCCATTGCTGGGACGATTATTATTAATCAATATATTAATATTAATTATATACGTTATACCAATTGCATCTTTCTATTTGTATATTTCTTCATATCGCACACCATCTTCAAAAGAGTCGCAACTTAAAATAATAGGTTTGTTAGAAAATGCGAAGAACTATTTCTTAGCACATCTAGCTCTTTCTGAAAGGCAAATAAAAGCTCTGTGTTAATTTTTAGCGCATAATCTCAAAAATGCCAAATTTTTAGTTGTGACTCTTTTGAAGAC